AGCATAAGTGACAGCTCATGCTGGAGAGGATGTGGAGCAAGTGGAACACTCCATTGCTGGTGGAAGTGCATACTTGAACAGCCATTTTGGAAATCAATATGGCAGTTTCTCAAGGATCAATCTATCACAGGACATAGCTACACTACTCTTGGGCATATAACCAAAGGATACTCATTCATACCATAAGGACAGTTGCTCATCTACATTCATAGAAGCTTTATTTGTAATAGCCAGAACCTTGAAACAACCTAGATGCCCCTCACCAAGGAACGGATAAAGAAACTATGGTACAGCTGCAACCCTTGGGAAAGCAGACCCTGCACCTTGCTTGGGTAGCACAGTAGAGCCGAGCCTATGGGTGGAGGTGTGGATAAGCTAGCCTTGAAGTTGTGAGCATGGGAAAGCTGTCCCCATTACTCATCTGTCATGTGGCAGCATGAGTGGGTGGGGAAGATGCCCTACCCTAGCTCATCAGTGCCTGAGGCAGGTGGAAGAGCTGGCCCTGAGCTCATAAGAGCTGGAGAGCTATTCCTGCCTAACCCAGTTCCCCCTCCCTTCTCTCCTCTTGCTCTCCCCACCTTCCCCACCTCACCTCCCATCTGCTCCCCTATTAAGTCTACTAAGTCTGTCCCATCATATCTCATTGAGGTAGGACCAAGGCATCTTGTCACCCCCTACGCCCCTGTGTCTAGGCTGGGCAAGGTATCTCTCCATATAGAATGGGCTGAACTAAGTCAGTTTGTGCATTGGAGTTAGATCTTGGACCCACTGCCAGTGGCCTCATATATTCTTCCAGCTGCACCATTGTTGAGGTGTTTAGACTTCCTGCAACTTGATATGCCATGTTTTGTTGATATCCATGGGAGGCCTGCCCTTTCCTGAACAGAAATGGAGGAGTGGATTGGGAGGTGGGAAGAGACGGGGTGGGGAAGGGATTGGGAAGAGAGGAGGGAGAGAAAACTGTGGCTGGGATATAAAATAAACAATTTTAAAAAAGAAACAAAAATGGCAAATGAAATAGAAAATTTCAGCATCATTCAAGGTAAAGAGAGGATTTAATTCTTTAATTAATGGTAGTTAAAAAAAGGATGATTCACTAGAGAAAGGGGCACCTGAAAGAACAGAGAATCAGCAGATAAGGAATTGTTATGTGCTTAAAAACACTGTTTCATACTAATAAGAAAGGAACTATTTTTGCATATCAATTTGATAAAATTATGGCAGAAGTTAAAAGCTTGGCCTCCAGCCATAGTTCAGGATCCCAGACACTACCTGGAGACAGCAAAAGCTATACTGTGTCTGGGCTTCACTCTCAATGAGAGTCTACCCTGACACAAATCCAAGTTCATCTCAGCTCAGGGATTACATTTAGTCACATTCTCTCAAGAGGCCAGCCAGAGAAGTAAAGAAAGCTCATGGTAGCCAAGCAGAGTCAGGCACTTTTCTGTGATAGGTGTAAGTCCCTCAAGGCACACAAGTGGTCAGTCTCCTCCCCACAAGGACCTCCAACTGCCAGCTTCTACCCACAGAACACCCTAACTGTCCTAATGGCTAGATCCAGCCCCTGCCCTACAGAGTAAAAAGTCTAAGGTCGGGACTTGAAATCTGACCAGTTCCCACCCTGGAAATCTCCACCCTGGAAAGCCCCTACTTCCCCAATGCTGTATAAACCCTGCTTCTTGCTCAGTTCTCTGCTGCTTCTCCTGGGAACAGAGGTAGGCACCCTCCTGGGTTTTTCCCTCCCAGTAAATCTCTGGCTTGTTGTGAGGTGTGATTTTGTGGTAGCCCTTGGCTCCTGACTGCCAGGATATCTTTCCCTTCAGGGCTGTAGTACTTAACATTATAGGTGAATGGATAAATAAACTGACATTAAAGTATTAACTGTATTTCAGAAAGGCATACCTCAAAATGCTGATACGAAAAATTGTCTCTGGAAGTATTAGTTATACTTATGTACTACACATATACATGTATGTTTAAGTGAATTAAGACAATGATTGCATTCTAGCTTACTTTTGAAATTTCATACCCATGCATGTATTTATTTATAATAAGTTATAATATCAGCTTGTTCTATTAGTCTATTGATCTTGAATGTATAAACCACCTTTTTCTTTATAACTCTGTCTTAAAATGCTACAGACTGGCTGGTGGTGGCACACGCCTTTAATTCCAGCATTTGGGAGGTATAGGCAGGTGGATCTATGTGACTTTGAGGCCAGCCTGGTGTACAGAGCAAATGTTAGGACAGCCAAAGCTACACAGAGGAACCCTGTCTCAAAAAACCAAAACCAACCAACCAAACAAACAAAAAAAAGAAAGGCAACACACACAAAAAAAGCAAGCTAGCTATCATATGTCATTAAAATAATGAAAAAAATGCTTTTTCTTCATTTCATATTTAATATGAGGTACATGTCTATGTTGCATGTTTATATCCATCCCTAAATATAGAATCCTACCCATACATCCTTACCCCAACATGTATAAATTGTTCTATTGATGCATGTAATGACCAGAATGATGCAACAAGTTGCAGCCTCTTAAGTGTTCTTTTGGTTGTCATTTTTAATTCCAAGCACCAGCAAGAACTTGTATCTATTAGTGTGTACTATTAATAACTAGTACATATTAACAGCTTCATGGTGACTTTTTCACATATGTGTCTCTCTTGCTTTGATCACGTTCGCAGTCATGTATGCTCCTGCCAGGGCTCTGGGATCTTCCTGTCAGCTGTAAGGGCTTCAGCCTGAGGCTAGCCTCTGCAGCCTCTTTCTCCTTAATGAACACAAGCTATTGAGTTATCTCAGGCGGGCAGAAGCTTTTTGTCCTGTTCCCTGGCTCCAGCAACACTTCCTTGGAATCTATTTCAAAGGGCGATTTCATTTCTGTAATTACACCGGGGACTCAAATGCTATCCCACTTGTGTTTTCCTGGCTGGTCTCGCGGAGCACACTCACCGGTCACATTGACACTTGCTCTCTGCAAGTCACTGACAAGCATACATACAATGGGAGGGAGAAGGCAATGGCAGGCTGAAGAATAGAGTTCAGTTCAGAGGACCAGAAGTTGGAGTCAGAGTTGGAGTCAACTGACTGAAGACTTGGATTTACTGATTTTCAGGCAGTTTTTGGTGCGAATTTACCCACTGCCGTTCGCATGTTGTGTATTAGAAAGGTGAGATCTGAAGTTTATTCATAGTAACATTGGCTTAAGGATTATATCTCTTTCTCACATCAATTCCTAATCCCATTGTCTGTGTACTTATTTCAATTTTGGGTATTTAAGGTTAGGGCTGTGTGTGGCTCAGTGGCAATACATTTACCTCGCAATGCACGAGGCCCTGGGTTCAAGTCCTGGCACCGAAAAGATAGTTTGTGCTCTCCACATTACTTCCTCTGGGAAAGTCTTCATCGTGCCAAAAGATTGGAATACGTAAGATGGAGGAGTTTATTCCATTTCCCCAAAGCAATTCAAAGAATGAGATACTTTAACACACAAGTGCTGCTCTTTGGAAGAAACACTTTTGTAGCCTGCGTGTATTCACTTGACTGTGTTGTGCAGCAGCAAAGGGAAAGTAGGATTCTCAGATGGGGCCAGGGAGGGTGGCACTGCCTTCTCCAGGAATGCCAAAGAGATGGGAAAAATGAAAAGGAGTTGACTTGTTCGAGCATACGAAATGGGGGTGAAGTTATTTATTTCTTTTACTCCCTTAATGACGTTTCTGAAATTAAAAAACACTCTTGGAAATGAAAAGGAACAGAATCCAGGACAGGTGAGAAAGGTGATCGGATGACTCTACGGATTTGGATCTCAAGGCAAATGAGCTTGGGCTTCTCTCAGGCCCCACCCCAATGGATCCGGGAGAAAGGTTTTCCCGTCAGGCTGTTCCAGGCCCTCAGTTATGTTATGTGAAAGTGGCTTCTTGGGTAGTGTCCTGCCCTAAGAGACTCAGAGTGCAATGCAGAGGTGGGGTGACAACTCTGCACCTTGACAGAGGCATAGAGAACATCTGTCCATTGCCACCCAGTCTGATCAATAATTGCTTCTAAACACAGAAAGCTATTACACCATAAATTTATCGAAGTAAATCAAGCTTGTGAGCATATACATGGAACACAATGAAGCTATTTCAGGAAGAGCAGGCCTGAGAATTTTCTGGATATACCAGACTGAGGAAAAGGTGTAACTCCCTCAGCTGGACCTTGGGAAGAGGAGGACACGTTAGTGGTGACAGCCCTACCAACCCATCAAACCTGACCACTCAGTGTGAGTGTCAAGGGACCAATAGGCAGAGAACCTTCAACTGTCCTAGGGTCTTCAGCATGTCTCAGTCCCTATTGTTCACATGGTTGCTGTCCATCTGCCCACTGGCTCATCTCTCTGGACCCAGACTTGCTTCCCACTTCTCTACAGCCTCCAATGTCCAGCTCCTTTTACTCCTGTAGATCAACTTTGACCCCAAAGCCTGTCTCTAAGGGGGCAGCTGCAGTGATGTCTCAGGCAGAGCCCCTCCCCCCCATGCATGCCTTGTTTCTTGTGCTTGTCCTCATGGGCACTTGTTACATCTCTTTCAGACTCTGCCACAAGCCTCTTTGAAACTCTTTGAACTCTGTTGGGGACTTACAACTCTTTTGTAGCCTTGCTGTAATAAGTACAGAGATATATTTACTATATGATGTGTAATGTATGATCTGATATTAACTTTGGTGATTTAGATTGGAATAAAAGAACCCTTGCTTGCTTTGACCAGCTATCAAGGAGAGTGGGATTTCTTGGCATATTGTCATCAATGAGACCACTGTATCTTGTGAATTTGTTGTTATTCAATACATCTGACATTGGTTCATATGTGTTTCTCACATAGCATGTTCACAAATAGGGGCAACAGTGACTTTCTATAAAAGTAGTTTGGCCTGCCTGTCCACCATCCTTCAAGTGGAGGGACTATTATAGTTCCTGGAAACGTGTTCAGCATTTTGTCTTTTGTGTTTTCTCAGGTCCTCTCCCTTGCTGAATTCTTCTGGCCATGTATCCTCTTCATGATTCTGACCGTGCTTCGTTTTCAAGAACCCCCCAGACACAGAGATAGCTGTAAGTTTCATTCTGAATACAATTTTTAGATTCAAATGTTCAAAGAAACAAAATCCTCCCTCCCTCCCTCCCTCCCTCCCTCCCTTCTTTCCTTCCTTCTTTCCTGTCTAAATTATAGGACAGAAGCCTACCCTGAATAGCTGAATGGATGGGGCTCATGGGCACTTCAGGTAATTAGAGAAGTGCCTTCCAAAATGGAGGAACTCATCAGTATAAACAGTTATAGGAGGATATTGACAAAGCCACTAGATGAAAACACATAGGCCCAGGAGGCTTCTCCCTTGCCTGTTTTTACCCTCATGAATTATCAGACACAACAGAAGTAGTGTCTGGTTGTTAAGAAACTGAGTAGCATTTAATCAGAGCTCATTCTGGGACTCTGAAAAGTTGAGCCACCAATACAGGCTGCTGGAAGGTGCCAACTCATCCAGCTTTTTTTTTTTTTTTTTTCTAGTGGTCCATGTAGCCAGCCAGGCCAAAATTCCACCATTGGATGTCCTTTACCTGCTTGATGCTTTTTTTTTTTTTTTTTTGGCCATTCAAGCATGTATCTCTCCATTAATTTTTCTATTATTTATTTTTCTCAAGTTGACTAATTAATTTCCTCCTTCCCTGAAAACTAAGGGCATACTTCCACATACTCCCCAAGAACCAATGAAGCTGCAACATATCCACCCCATTCCGTGGTTTCATCAAATATCCAAAGGCCAACATAAAACCATCCATCTCTCAATTTCATATCTCTACATCATTCTATGGTTTCTATAAATATCCAAAGAATACCATAAACTGTCTATATCTCAATTTTGCTTGCCCTCAAAATCTCTTTGTAAGTACTAACACATAACTGTCTGTCTCTAGATTCTACATGTTAATATATAACTACCTAACTATAGATTCTACTTATTAACATGTAACTGCTTATCTCTAGATTCTACTTGTCAACATGTAACTACCTAACTATAGAGCCTACCTATTAACATATAGCTGCCTAGCTCTAGATTCTTATTAATACATGATTGCCTAACTTGAAATGCTTCCCAACCATTTCTTTGTTTGTTCTGTTACCCTTATTTCTTTATTAGTATGCTCCTTATAAGAGCAATTCCTCTTTCTAATCAACGCAAGTCCCCCATAGTCAGTATCTACTGTTAATGACCCTGTTTGGGCACCACCTGCCATGTCCCACAAGGTTCCATGGACTGACCTAACTGGGACAGCAGGAGAATAAAGAAAGGACAAACACATGGGTACATGGACCTATTAGCTAGATTCTGGTGGGCTGGGTTCTTGGATGGAGGAGCTACTTGTCCCTCACATTATATGCAATTGGACTTGAAGGCAGAGTCACTGCACAAAGCACCCTACTTCGGGTAATAGGTGTCAGAACTAAGTTCTTCCTTGTGTTTATATGCAGGTTACTTGCAAGCCCGGGATCTTCCCAGCCAGGGTGTTCTCCCTTTTGTTAAAGGACTGCTTTGTAACACTGGCTCAAGTTGTAGGAACATCAGCTTTGAGAGTTCCATGGATCACCATTTTCGGTATGAGAAATATAAACATCCTTTTTAGAATTCTTAGGATGGTTTTACATATTGCCCCCTCTCCTCCAAGCCCCCAACCTTTACAATGCCGTATAATTTTTATGCATACTTAGTAATCTGGGGTCAGGGACAATGAAAGGCTAGAATTCAGAGTTACAAACAAATCAGTTTTATTGCTTGGAGTCACATAACAATCGCTCCTACTGATGTCCACTGTATCTCCAGATTCATAGCATGCTAAATGCTGATGAGAAAAATTCTGTCTCCTCTTAATTATTTTCTGTAGTTAAACTCTGACTTCAAAATTACTATTACTTGCTTAGTCAATTTTTCATTTGAATGTAGTTGGAAAATGAGTAGTTTGGGGGATGACTTCTAGATGTTCTTACTGTGTATAGATAAGATTACCAAGATCTTGTGTCAAGTTGTTATCAGGTGAAAGAACAGCCAGCCAGGCACCACTTTCCTCTTGGTACTAACTATCCTCAGATGTGTGATGGCTTTACTTTGCTTTCTCAGATTCTCACAATGCCGAGATAGGCTGAGATAGCTCTTGATCTTATTTTGTATTAATCAAGAGACAAAGCAGGAGTTGGTTTAAGTGACAAGGGTAAAAATGAAGAGGTTTAACTCAGAGAATTCAAAATGTTTTGGGAACTTTTCTCAGGTGGAATAAAGGATGGAAGGAAGTGACTAGCTGATCTTCATGTTATGAGGTTTTGAGGTTGAATGATGTGGAGTTGAATTCACACTTGTTGCAATTAAACAGCTGGAGATTTTAAAACATGAAGCAAATGTTAAAATGGAAGATGTTTATTTTTCAAACTTAGATTTTTAAATTTTGTATGTTTTTCCTGGCCTGGACATATATATGTGTGCTATATGCATGCCTGGTGTCAACAGATGTTGGAAGAGGCAGTTGGATCCCCTGGAACTAGAGTTATGGATGGTTATGAGCTACCATGTAAGTTCTGGGAATCAAACCCAAGTCCTCTGTAAGAGCAACAAGTGCTCTTACCTGATGAGCCATCTCTCCATCCCTACCCTTCTGTTTTATGCTGAATCCTTCCAGATAATTTTAGACATAATGGGTGCTACTTGTATAACAAAATGCCCTAGACTGGATAGCTTTTCAGAAACACACAAAGAACATATTTACTTCTCACAGTTCTGTCTACTGGGAAGTCCAACACAGAAGTGAAAATCATGTGTTTTCTGTGACCAGGGCCTCTCACCCTCCTAGTTCAATGATGGTGAAGCTAGGAAGATGAGAGAAAATATACAGATTCTCCCTTATTTTATAAAAGCATGTTCCTTCTGTTTCTAGTTTCTTCATGACATTTATGATGAAGAGGTTGTGGATATTATCAGAGGCCTTTTCTATATTAACATCATGTGATTTCTGAGCACATGTGATGGGTGACAGTTATGATTTACCTGTATTCAACCTGTACCTCTAAAGAAAAGTCAACTTGATTGTGATGAACATATGATCTTTCAAACATATGATATTTTGATATATTCTTGAATTTGGTTTGCAACTGCTTGTTGAAAAATTTTGTACCTATGTTTGTTCAGGAAATTGGTCAATAATATTCATTTTTGTTGTGTTTTTATCTAGTTTTTTATTATCATCAGGTTTACACTACCTTACTATAAGATTGACAGTATCCTTTCCTTTTTTTTTTTTTTTTTTTTTTTTTTTTTTTTTATTTTGTAATCTGTTTGGGTGGAAGTGTTGGTGTTGGTCTGGTAGACTATTTTTTTTAACTCCAAGAAATAATTAGTTCTTCGTGTGTTCCTCCATTTTAATACTCACATTCTGGTTTGCAGAAACTCAAGGATTATAAAGTCACCCTTGCAAGTGTTTATCTCCCATTCTCAAAAGTATACTCAGTTGCAAAACTCTCCAGCATTGCAGGGATTTTAAGAACTTTAAAATGCTGCTCAGTATTGGGGGGGGCAACTTAGAGGTGAGGGAAATACGAGATGAAAGCAGAAAGAACAGCATAGGAATGAGAAAAGAGCAAGCTGTGAGAAAGAAACAAACTCTGAGGGAGAGCCTGGCTTTCAGACCCGCTCTGCCAGGCACTGCTCACTTGATTCCACATTTCTTAGGCTATGAATTCTGCTGAAGTTCAAAGTAGAAACAAAACAAAAAAACACAAAAGACTAACCAATAGCAACAATACCCCCAGCAACTCCCTTCTGACTGTCTTGGTTCACAAATCCTGTGAACATGTTTTCATTTCAAAGCTAGTTATAGATCACCATGTTTAATTTGCCCCATGAATGGCCGTGATATTCCTTATCACTCAGGTAGGCTTAACTTGGGCAGAACCTCCAGGTACATTCTGATTATGAAAATCAGCTTCCTCATTCCTGGCTTTGTAGGGCGATTCCCCGCTGCTCCAATAAGAGGATTTCAGAGTGCAACCACAGTTATTACCGACCACAGATTAAGGGGCTATATTCTCACAGTACTTTGTTAGGGAGTCACTCCTAGTTCAAGATAAAGTGAATAAACAAAAGCACAATTGAAATGTCCTGTGCTACTGCCAATCATCTGTAAGGGGCAGGCTGAAGTCAGCCCTGCCAGCATGTTCCTTGCTCTTTCCTGCATAACTTGCCTTGCCCTTCACCTAGGTTGGCAGTTTAGACTTTCAATTTTTGCTCAAAATATTGCTCCTACTAATGGGAAGAGTTTTGGGTTGGAGAGATGGGTCCATGGTTGAGAACATGTACTACTCTTACCAGTTCCCAGTCCTCACGTTGCCTGGGAGGGATTCAGCTACAGCTCCACGGGACCCGATTCCCTCTTGGCTTTGGCAGGCACCTGCATTCATAGACACACCCCACCTTTGCAAAGACATGTAATTAAAAAAAAGAAATCTTAAAAAGTTTCAGTTTGTTTTTTAATTATCCATATACCACAACCACTACTGTGTTTGTTTTTCCCAGTCTAAAGTATTTCTAGGCTCTTGATGACCCCTTTCCCTCTCTGCTGCTATCTGTTCTGTCTACATCACCCATGCTGCCTCAACTTCCAGCTTCCTAGCTGACTTTTCACCCTTGTCTTTTAAAATTTCTCAGCTGCTCAATGCCCCAGGCGTTTCTGAGTAGCTAAATCCTGCTGCTTCATCCAAAGCTGCCTCATAGGTGGGAGTGGGAATGCAACACAGGATAAATGCTGTTCTCTTCAACTCACTTAGGGTCATGCAAGACATTTCATCACAGCAATAGAAACCCTAGCTAAGACAGAAATTGGCAACATACTTGTGGGGTAGACTTGACCATATTTTGAGGAAGACTTTGGGCTAGGAAAGACATTGAGTGTTTGGAGTTTAGTGAGCTACTCTAGGAAGTTAGAAAGTCCTGCTGAGAGAAGTACAGACAATGGAAGGAAGCGGAGAAGGAAGAAAAAGTCTACCAGGGCTGTTTGTATGTGTTGTCTCAAGAGTCTGTGGTATCTTGTCTGCTGGAGCTGAAGAATTGGAAGAGACAAGGACTACTGAAATGAAACAGTCGGTTTGCAAAGCATTTGAAATCTTATGGGAAGTGTTTCCTCAGAGTTAGCACACAGAATCTGTGTTTCAGAAGCAGCAAAGGTTGTAGCTCTTGTTAGTAGCCAAACTTGGTAGTGTAAAATCACCCAGGTGGTACTGGCTTTGAAGGAGTGAAGAAGCCATGGAAATGGCTGGGCTTGACACCATGAGAAGTCAAGAGAGGCCATTGGTGAAGGTGAAGCCTTGGCTGTAGTGAAAACCCAAGAATTGAAGAGGTCATGAAGAGGAGTTGATGTTTGATACAATGTGTCAGAGTCAGAATCCCTGAAGACAGCACAGAAAGCTATTGGTGAAGGTGCAGCCCAACTACAGTAGAGACCCCAACATTTTGTAGATGCCAGTATCATGGGACAACTACCAAGGACATCAGCCAGAATGAAATGGAACCTGCCTGAGCCTATGAAACAAACCATATGTTCTATAATGGCTTTCCAAGCCTTTTGAAGGAGCCCAGAAGATTCCTAATGAGTCCCACATGCCTGATACTGATTTGACACTGTTGGGCTCGGGTTTTATTTTGTTCAGTTGTGACTATGCCATGTTTTTTCCCTCTTGAAATATGAATGCATTTAACTTATTCTGATTTTACTGAAGCCCGAATTTGAAGGTCTTTGGAATTTTAGAGGGTCTTTGAAGTTTTAGAGAGATTTTGGAGGGTTTGAACTTTGAGAGAGGCTTTGGATGTTTTAAAGAGACAAACATTTTAAAGTGTTTGAATTTTTAAAGACTTTTTTTTTAGAGTTATAATGTTCAATTCTGTAATTTTAATGTTATTATGTCATCTTGGGGCCAAATGAAAAAGGAAGGGTTCTAGTGGAATAGTGTCAAGATGACAAGGGGTCAATTATTCTGTCTAGTTTTATGTCAACTTGACACAATCTGGAGTTAACTGAGGAAAAATTGTATTTGAGAAAATGCCTTCATTAAGTGTGACCTGTAGGCAAGTCTGTAGTCCATTTTTAAAATTAGTGATTGATGTGGGAGGCCCAGCTCACTGTTGGTGGTGATTCTGGGAGCTATAAGAATGAAGGTTGAGCAAGCTGAGAGAAATCAGCCATTAAGCAATGTTCTTCAGCTTTTACTTCAGTTCCTGCCTCCAGTTTCCTGCCCTGCTTGAGTTCCTTCCCTGATTTCCCTCCTCAGTGATGGACTCTTATTGGACATGTAATATGAAATAAACCCTTTCTTACAAACTTGCTTATGGTCATGGTGCTTTATCACAATAATAGAAGCCTAAGATATGTTCCATCTGCAATATTTTTATTATTATTTTTTTAAAATTTATATAACCAAGTCCATTTAAATGAAAACGAACATTTATAGACAATATTTGGGAATTTGGGCGTTATTCTTTCCAAACTACTTCCTGCTGGTAAGGGGCGCTGTCATGGGGGAGTCTAAGAAGATGCAGAAATCCTGGCTGTAGTCTGTAAG